TGTAAAGTTTTATAATTTGAATTACAGATTTTTAATAATTTGAACAGTATGAAAAAATTCGAACAGAATTTTTTGAAGCTTTGCAATTTGAGAATCAGTGCTTTGCCTGCATACGAGTAGCTTTGTGTTTTGTATTTGAAACCACTGAAAGTGTGTAAATTGGTAAACAGTTCTTCTTGGATTTTTCACCACTAGCTGATGCGCGCGACATATTTTTAAGATATTGAAGTGAGATTTGATTAACACTAAGTATCCTGCAAAAAATACAGCGAGAAGCTCGTCATTAACTAAAGCGAGTTAACAGAATTTTTGTGACTCTTTTAAATCTTAATTTAAATTAGCAAACTGCAAGACAATTTTTCTTAAAAAAACTTGAAGTGTTTTCAAATGTATCTCATTAATGTCTCAATATTTGGGATTTGAATTTTTAGCTCAGCATGCTTTGTTTCTGCAGACAAGTCTTGAGTCTCGAAACAGGGGCGGATCTCGGAGGACTATTTTTAGGTCGACCAAATTGATTTTCTGAGCTCTCCCAAGTTATTATAAAGACCCTATTCTGACCAGAATTTCTGCGCCTCAGGTGAATTTTCGAAACAGCAGCCCGGAAAAATAATTTTAATCAATTTTTGGAAAAATTTGTCCAAAAAGTTGCGCTGTTTTGGTGCGCGCTCCTTCAGCGAAGTTAGCATATTTGGCACAAAAGCACTTTGAGTTTTTTTGGGTTCAGTCAGCCAAAAATTAATGTTTTAAATATGTACCAAAGGGGGGACCCTTTAAATCGACAGGAGGTCGAATCCTTAAAGAAGAAAAAGCGTATGCTACCGCGCTCCTCTCGTAAAACCAGCCCTTGTCTCGAAAAATCATTTGCAGACGGAGTTCTTTATACTACCCTATTTATAATGATGCTTAGAGCTCAAACTTGAGAGTTCAGGTCGAAATCATAAATGAAATGAACTATTTAACGACATTCATTTTTCGTCGATTAAGCTAGCCTACATATTTCTGAAGGCAACCTATTTACTTTTTATGAAGGAAAATTTTCTGAAAAAAAACTCAAAACGCGTCAAAAAACGTTGTTTTTTCAGTCAAACCCTTCCAAAAATGTTTTAAAATAGCCTGTTTTTTTGTTCAAAAACTTTCAAGCGGTTCAGAAAGTTTTGACAGAACAGGGTTTTCATAGTTCCCTCTTGCTCTTTGGTGAAGCAAAATTGATTTACTTCTCAACAAATAAAAATAAATTTCCCTCACTCGCAGCGTCAACTGCAAAGTGTTTTTGTCGGAGAATTGGAAAAATTGCGGTGTGGCCGAGACCAGCCTCCGCCGCTGATTTTACTTACATTACCTATTTACGGCAAAACCAAAAAAATACTTTGAATTTTTTAATTTATTGTCGGTCACTAAAGGAAGAAACTTGAGTTGAGCTCAGGTTTCATTAAGGAGATGCAGTCCGTAATGGAATAGGTTTGATTGAGAGCACCCGATGAACCGGATTTTTGGTGTTTCCTTCAATTTGTCAGCCGCATACCAGTTAGTGAAAGTCGACTCCATGAATATGGCAATTGGTTGTCTCATTCTCTAATTTGCTCGTTTTTTAGCATTAATTGCGTACATAACTTGAAAATTCTATTTTTCTTAAATCGTTACCCGCGATTGAGAAAAAAAACGAGACGGAATGAACATCCCCTTTTAAATTAGAGCATTGCTTGCTTTTGTTTGGTTTAAAGGATTATTTTTCAGCCGATGATAATTCACTATTTTACATGTTCACTACTGTTTAAATTTTCCATAAAATTTGGGGTTTTTGTTCACAAGTCCAAAAAACTAATTAGCTAGTCAAAAATTTGAAGCAATTTTTAATCCAGCTATCAGCTATTGTGCAGGAAAACTACCGTAGCACTAGAAATAGTCCTCCTAAGGTGGGCTACTTAAGTTTTAATTCGTCTTCTTCTTTTTCTTATGATAGATTCAGACATCAGAGGCCGAGAAAATGAATGAAAAAATATCTGTTCAGTCCTTCAATATTATAAAAATGATGGATAAAAAGTTGCTTTATGAATCTCGTTGCAGATGTGGTGTATTATATTTGGGCCCTTATTAATTTTAGTGAGGGAGTTTGACTCTCCATTTGTTTTTATGACATTGAAGGTCATTCTCAAAAGGCTATTCTTCATACACATCACACCCAAGGGAAACGAAAGTGAGAAAAAATGAGCAGTTAATTCAGTTTGGCTTTCATAAACAATGCAACTTTTAATTTTTTAAAATCACATGTATGATGCCACCAGTAGCGGATTTAGGGGGCACCCCTTCTTCAAGAATTCGACCCTCTGACCTCCTAAAGAACTATTTTAAGACAACCGTGTTTTGCTCACCAATTCGGGTAATTGTGCTCCTACATGCACTAATTTTAAAGGGGGAGCGCGCGCCAAGAAAAAGCGCACACTTTCGCTGACGGTGCAGAAAATTCGCCGATGGTGCTGAAAATTTGGGCAAACAGGGTCTTTATTGTGATCAATTTGTGATCAAAAAGGCCAACACAAAGAGTCGACGAGTCCTATCAATTTCAATGGTCGAAGAGGTAAAAATTACGAATAACGGAACTGATAATTGGTACCTAAACCTTTCTCTTTACAATCAGACCGACTTTTCTAATAAGTACGTTTTTTTCATACAATAGATTTCTTGAGAATTAAGTTGGAAAACTGCACCGCTAAATCACAATAGCAAAAAACTACCTTTCATGCAGCACAAAAGTTTAAAAATATCCCTTTCAGAGGAAATATATCAATCAAACATCAAAAGGGAAGCCAAAAATCAACAATCATTGTCCTCCCCAAGCCTTTTCTACGCTATCTTATATAGCTCTGACAGTATTGTTTTTTATAGAAATCATCAAATCTATTGGTACAAAAGCATGGAGTTTTTATATCTATAAAACAAAATCATGAATGAAAACAAAATTGGCCATCTAAGAACTAAAAATTAATTTATTCAACTGATACGCAACTAAAAAACAAAAGAAATGAGAGCAATTTTAACCAACAAGGTTGATATTTTTCACAAATCGTGACCTTTAGTGCTAATCTAAAAACAGAATACTATCCGCCTTTTTTCCTATGTCAGTAAAATTTTCGGTCGAAAAGTAATCAGTATAATTGCATTGGCCTCTTATAAGATAAGTTCAAGTGATGACTTTAGAATTAGTTAAATGAAAAAATGCCTTATTCTTGCCGTAAGTCTGAAAAATTACCAGGAGAGTTATTTTTTTTTAATGAAAAAGGGTTGTTCTTTTTACACCCAAATTAAAAATAAACTAGTTCACTAAACTGGACCAAACTAATTGAGTAAAATTAGTTTTTCACTTGATAAAATTATTTACCACAAGTCAAAAATATCAGAAAACTCCTTTGAAGTTACAGATTAAATGAAAACAGTGTGGGTGAATTTTTGTGCTATACTAACATGATCACAATTCACAAGTGCATATTTAATTCAATAGAAAATATTCACCAAGTAGGCAAGCAGTTAAAAATTGACAAATATTGGTTAATAATAACTTAGGGTACCGATAATTGAAAAGGGTAAATTATTGATGCCCATCAGAACTCAATCAGGAGCTGGTCTAAAAGTTATCATGAGTGGCAGTTGTTCTTACCTTTTCTTCCTGCAATTATGCACATGGTCTTAACTAACAATTATTGCACAGTTAATTTACAGACATGTTGAACTAGTTAGTGATGATAAACTGTCCGAACGAACGAACTCTGAGGACACGCACTTCGTTTAAAAAAAACTAACTACCCCTCCTTTTCCCCTTTCTTAAATTTCAACACCCAAAATCCAATCAAACATCAAATATATGACTTCACGTAATCATCATTTAAACTGTAAACCTTCATGCTGATTATATAGATTTTTCATGATGCAGTGAAGTAGTATTTTTATTCAGAGCTCCTGACAATATTGTTTCGATGCTATTTGCTCGTCAAAAAGGAGATATTTTGAAGAGATAGTTAACTCAAATCTAAGTCAAAATTCGGGTAATTACCGAGGGCATATATCCGTATTAAAATCTTCGTTCCCCAATTTTATTTCCTAATTTGATAGAAAAAATGTCGGTTGAGGTTTGATCACGCCCATAAACGATTTCTTTCTCAAATATCAGTCGAAGAATATTTTCTATTGTTTAATCATGTCACAATCATTTAATACAGTGCCTTCAGTTTATTGTGAGATCACATCAATTGAGTTTTTAGGAGTATGTTGATATTTGATACATATTTTGCCATTATTGATTCTGTTGTTCAGTAGCACGTTTTTTTTTTTGGGGGGGGGGGGGGGGGTGTTTGGGCGAAGGGGAGGGGATGGTGTACTCTTTTTTGCGAATTTGACTCCCATGCACTCTAAGAGTATTACTTTACCATATCAATATCGGCTCGACTAGCCCTCAAACTTCTATGTTTTTCTTGTTGGCTGATTTTTGTCAATATTTGTCGAGATTTTCATTCTTGTCGAGAATTTTCCCCTTGCAAATTCTTCGGACCACCACTGATTTGGTTTCCTTTAAAATGGCCTTCAAACTCGAAATTTTTCCGACTTCGTTGCCAATACTGAGTAGCTTTAATGTATAGAGGCAGCAAAAATGCGTTTTTGTGGTCGTTCGCAAGAAAAATGCCCAAAATATCAGCTCATGATATTAACACTTACTTGTGGGGCAGAAACTATTGTAGAAGGGACCTTTTGGGTCTTCATGCAAAACAATTTGGTTGTCTTTTCATTTTTTTAGTCCGCCCCTATTTTGATTCGACTGCGGTATCTAAGTGTACTTGGATACCGAGAGGTAAAATCAAGATAAGCGGCAGGCTATCAAAAAACGGAGCATGTTTCTGATTGAATTGCGTGAAAACACAAAACATACCTTTTTTTGAAGAGGTTCTGCGCGACAAGTAAATTTTGAAGGCATGACTTATGTGGAATATGTGGCGTATGTGGAGTCTGACCTTTGAGATGGGGTTGAGGTCCCTCCAGATGTTGTGTTGGTGATTGAGATCTATCTCCCCTAGGGGGATGTTTACTTCCCCGATAGGATCATCAGATGACATCTTGTCGTAGTCCATGACTTTAATGTGCAGAGTGCGCTTCTGTATCTTGTCGTATGGGTAGCCTTGCAAGCGAAATCGATTTTAATAACAGAAACAAAAATATCAAAACAAAGAAAACTAGCAATAGCTGTCATTGCACCAAAAAAGGAGACAAACCCCCCTTTACATCAAACTAATCAGTCGTACGTATGATTCAAGGGAAAATTCTTAACCTATTCAAATAAACAAATTTGAGTTTTTCTAGGCACTGACAATTTTTTCAATTTTCGTAGGAACCGAATCACGAGTAGAAAGCGATACCACGTGGAGCTCTGTGAGCTTTTTTAAGTAGTCAAAATCAGCCGGAACAATTAATTGGTTAAAACGCGGAAAAATTAGATGTTAGCAAAAATAAACCCTATTTTTTAGTACACTGATTGGGTTCTAACAAGTATTTTATGGAAAAACCTACTCCAAGTTCATTTTTGTTTTCTGTAACAAGGCTTCGAGGTTTTTAAGTAATTGAAAGCCGATAGTTATTTAACTTTTTCTCGAAACCCTGTTTGCTTCGGTAGAAGAGGCGAATTGTATCTAGTACTTTTTCCCTGCATAAAAAGCAATCAAATAGCAGTTTAAACCTTGGAACTTGAGTGTTTCGCTCCAGGTGGGGTTCAGGTTCTTCATAATGGTCTTCGTCTTCAGTTTCTTCTTCGTGTCTGGCAGCAGATACAGCTTCACATAAGGATCACTGGTGCCTCTAAACAAACACACAGCGCGGGCTTGAAACTTATCTAATTAATTTTTGTAGATACTCAATCCAAAGCCCAAAAAAGCACAAACATTTTTTGTTTAGTTCTATAATTTGGCAAAAGCTAAGACCTTTAGTCGGCGCATTTTTCTTTTCTTTCTATTTAGAAAGCGACCCTGACCACGAGTGATGTCTAACAGTATGTCTAGATGATCTTACGTCCAGTCCTTGGCCAGCAGGTCCTTGGCCTCGATGATCTGCACCACCAGAGTCTGGCTTTGGAAGTCATACTTGATGGTGAAGTGGATGCTGCCACAGTGGGAGTTTTGCTAAAACAACATGAAAAAGTCATCACACACAGTCCTTACACTCTTGACATTTTAATATCAACAAGAAACTTCGCCAATCAGCTATAGCTTGTTTCGCTGCTGAGACTTAGTAAAAAGTACAAACTTCAGTATAACATATTTTTTTTCTCAATTTTATAATAGTATAATGGTATGCAGCCAGCAAGAAAGCAATTTTAATAGCATACTCATCGGTTACCAGGCAAGTTTGATATTACTCCAATCTGATTTAGAAAAAAAAACCAAATTCGGGGAAATTCTGGGAAAATGGCAGCCTATTTTCATGTGCTTCTGATTTTTAAAACTCTTTCTAACCTTGTATCGATAGTTGTCATCAAAATTAGATTTTATATCATTTAATAGATACAAAAACTCAAAAACTGACAAAAATGGGGGCAATAATTTTAACCAAGTCAGTTATTACCACAAGGATCACCAATGATCTTTTATCAAAATGAATCTCATCACTTACCATAGGTTTGAGATTAAGATATGCCAGAACACAGAACTGCACCATTTTCTATTTTTTCTAAGTCTTTAAAACCATTCAAGATAAGTACGAGCCAGCCATTCTCTAAAACACTCATAATTCAATAACCATTTGATCCCAAGCAAAAGATCATTAGTCAAAAACAAAAAATAGGTTTTGTAAAAGTTTGTAATCTGATAAAGCTATGATTTCAAGTTGTTTCATTCAGAAAAGTGCAAAAGTTAAGACAAATTACATTTAAGGCTAAGATAAGACAAAAAATGATGAGATCGAAAATTGCTTAGAATTTCACCAGAATTAATATGATGTAATTTGTTTTTAGAAATTCGCAGCCAAAGTCTTGCTCCAAAAATGAGTCAATTTGCCTTTTTTTAGTAAAACAGGAATTGCACTGAAATTACCAAGTTAATTGATGCAAAAACCCTCTTGCACAGCCTGACAAATTTTTAGAAAGGTAAAAAGAATCCAAAAATTAGCACAAAATGTTCGAAATTTGATTTTATGCAAGGATTTTGATTTTTATATAGTAAAAATGACATTTTCTGTTTATCAATCAAAAGCATAAACGCACAGATTGTTAAAGGTTTTATTTTTTTATATATTTGTTGGATTGTGTAAGAAGCGTCTCTTAATATAATTTTTTCTTCAATTAACTCGGTAGTTCCAGCGTAGTTTTTGATTAAATAAAAAAGGACAAAAATACCCAATTTTGGGGGAAATTTTGGCTGTGAATTTCGAAAAATAAAATGCACCATATTAATTCTGGTGATATTATAAGCAGCATCTGTTTTTGTGGTCTAGTCTTAGCCCATTTTGAGAAAAATGTGTTTAAAATTTCAAATGTTTTTCGTTGTTTCCGGTTAATTTAAATCAGCACTGTATTACAAAAACAATTGCGTGCTGTGGAATCTAAACCATTATTTTTTTAAATTATCCTGTTTAGTAGTTGTTCATCTGAAAAAAATCCAGGTTTATTGATAACACGCACTAATTGTAAATGTCATAACTTCCAATTGCAACTACCGATAACTTCAAAATGTTCTGAAATTTTCGGTTCGCAAAAAAACAAGGATAGACGGTTACTGTGCAAGTAGCACAGAATGTTCCGACCATAGATAGTCTATGGTTTAGAAAGTACAGTTTAGAACTACGGTTTTTAGAAACTTTTTTTTTTCCAATTTAGTGTAGTTTTTCTGCTTGGTGTGATAAAAGCATCTGACATGAAAAGATAATTTTCAAACTACGGTAGTTAGAAAGGTTTTTCCAAATTAGTGTAGTTTTTTCTGCTTGGTGTGATATAAAGATCTGACTTAAGGATATAATTTAAGCATATTAGACAGTATTAGTATTATACGCAAACTGGACAAAAAAATTTGTAGAGAAATGACAAGAAAAACGTTTAAAAAATTGCAGAAAATTTTTGAGTTTTTGGTGTCAAAAACGAAACTAAAAAACTCCAAAAACTAGTTTTACATGCTTAAAATTAAGTTTTAGGATGTTAAATTACTTATAATTCAGCTTGTAAGCCTACACGCTCACGCCATGTTAGTTTAAAATTAGACCAAAAATCAAAACTTTCAAATCGGTTTTTGGTTTTTTTCCGAACTGGGAAAACTTTTGTAAGTTTTTAAACTTTGTTCAAATTGCGACTGAGAGGGCTTTAATATGATATATCAGTCAACCCAGTCTGATAATTATTTGTGGTACCTGATTTTGCGTCGAAAACAAAAAGAAAAAAAACTAAAACACACCCGAATACAAAGTTCCTCCCCATTTTCAATGGTCGGAACAAGAAGTCAAGAGAAGAATTTCAACCCGAAATTAGCTTTTTTGATCTCCAGCAATTACTGATTTATTTAAAATACCTATATACTACATTTATCTACCTAGCAGAAACAAAAACAATCCAATTGTTTTTTTTATGTACAGAAATTTGAGACCAAGCTAAAAATCCCCCCCAATCCTTTTGGGAGGAGGAGGTTGACTTGGTCTAAGTTAGGAGTTTTCAGCCAATCAGATCCGAGAATTGGCAGGATGTTAACTTGATCCGAATTTTGCACTTTCGTTGTTTTGATTTTTTGTTCAATACTTTTGTAGATATGTAAATTAAAGGGAAGATATGTAAATTATCCTTGAGAAAATCAGTTTTTCTACTTGGTCTCACTCTCGTATCTACAATTTCCTAAAACACGTTTTTTTTAAATAACCGTTTAACTCTAAGTTCAATAGTTTTTTTTGTCTGTCGAAGAATAGACTAAGACTATGTGTCGATCCACAGTGACTTCAGCCTGAATTGAATCTATAAGCTACCTGGATTAGAGATCGATTCACCAAGTTTTTCACAAGATTCAACTTTTGTTTGAAATATTTACAATCTGGGTGAAAATTTGAACTCTGTTCGTTATCGGCTATTTCTGGTTTTTAATAGTTTATTTCTAGTCTTGCCTTTGCCTTTGGTGTGAGTTTTATTTAATCAGGGCACATAGATATAGTATTTTAGAGTCCTTTTTTCCATAAGACCGTTTTATTTTATTTGTCCATAAATTTCAGCTTTGTTTAATTTATACCATTTATCAGGTCATTATCATATACAATGACGTCCTAAATGAAGTCACGAGAGATGTTTCCAAAAGATGAAAGCCCTTGGCACATCTTCTTTGAGAACGGCAATTAAATTTGAAGGAGTTACATGTAATCTTTTAGGGTCATATTCTTCAGCACCAAATAAAGGATTCAATTTTGGGTCAAATGATAGTGGATGGGAGCTAAAACCGGTAAAGACTTGGGTCTTAACGGGTTTTTATTCTATGCTTTAATTACTATGAGATAAATTTATATGAGAAACAGCTGGATGTGATTCACAAAATTTCAACAAAACTTCTAACAGAAAAGATTGAATTGTGTCATTAGTTTTTTATTTTTTTATTTCAGGAAGTTTTTTGCAATTAGCTATTTTAAACAATGAACATTTTTTTAGAGAAACAAAGGTATGTTCTGACTGACAGCCCATTCGTCATTCATAACGCGGGTTGCCTTATTGTGCAGTAAGCCCGCCTGGAGGTGGTAATTTTCCCTCTTTTTTCACCACGCTTAAACAAGTCGATTGAAAGTTAGTTCGTTCTCACACAATGGTGCACACTTTTGCATAAATCGATGACGGTTCTGCAAAATTTCTACCATCAAGTCATTCTTATCTCTCGTCACCGAATTAAGATATTCAGAGGGAAAACCTTAAAAATACTTCTCACTCCTGTTTTTATTAAGGTCATCTAGCTAGCCTTCCTGTTGCTCAGTGGATGAGATGAGAAGAGAAAAAAACTTGCCTCTTTCAGAGTTTGATAAGAAATTTAGAAGTTAACTTATGGCGGAATTTATAAATAGACGCCCTACAGATATCAATTTGAGTGCACATTTTCCTTAAAAATGCTCTTGATCAAACTTTTTTTAAAAGGCCTGGAAAAACATTGAAAGTAAAAGCGAGTAAAACCAGTTGGAATCAGTTTAACATCTCATCCCCCTAACACCAGTTCGTGTGGTTCAAATATCTACTATGATTGGCTAATAATTCCAAGTTAAAACCAAGTAAGCGTCTTCTCTGGGTAACTCTTGAGCACTTGAGGGGATCTTGACGAAGAAGATGCTGCAAAATTAGGAACAAGTGACAACTAAGAGCCAGTGATCAATGGAAGTTCATCATCAAACAAACAACTATGAGCTACAGGCAATAGAGAACTTTTAGGAACCAGAGTTTGAATTGATTTATCAGAAATCTTTAGTGTTTTGAAGCATCATAAAAGTCCCTTGAAGCATCGAATGTGAAGGGTGAAGGGTTACAACAGTGATAAAAATTGAAGTTCAAAGGCAACTAATTCAAGTTTTTATTGAAGCTTTACGCAATTGGAATAATTGCGTAAAGCTTCAAGCATTCGAACAGTTGCGCTTGAATTTTCCATTATTTAAGCTCTATGACCGGTTTCTACCAAGTATGCAGTAATCTTAGTGAGCATATTTTCAGTAAATACCTCAGCTGAAGCACACCATATTACGATCATGGGGTGAGATCATCCTATATTTAGAGAAAAGATCATCCCAGATTGAAGTTACATTGAAATTCAGATATGTATAATTCTTAATGCATTGTTTTGACACGTTTTAGGGATATATCAGTCCAAACGCATGGATTATCTGTTTTAACTATGTTTTTTCTTTTAATTTCTGTTATTTAAAACGAAAGCAATGATTTGACATCAATTTTATTCTAGTTTTGATACATTGCTGTCCTATTTTAAAAAATAATAACGAATGTTTTCAAAATGTGACATCAATGTATCAAAGTTCGAATAAATTGATGTCAAATCATTGTTGTTTTAAATAATGAAAAAAAAAGAAAAAACAAGCTATTGTTGCATGCAAAACTGTGTGATGAGTCTCAAGCGCGAAAGAGTTTTGCTTCCAACAAAAATTTGAGATGTTTCTAATTGCAATCATTAAT